CTGAGAGTGATGGCGGAGAACACCAACACGACGGCGACACAACAGAGCATTGTTCTTTTGGGTTTTCTTTTTTAGGTTTTACAGAGAGAGAGAGAGATTTGGATCTTCTTTATTTTGTGTTTTTAAGATAATTTAACTTTGGGGTCTATAATGAAAGAGAGATGGTTGGGATAGAAAACCTAGGATGTGACGCGTGAACCATTAACATATCTGTTGTTGACATTCAGAACTCCCGGGGACCACACCGAAGATTATTACAAACAAACAAAATACATCATTTATTAAATCCAATATGGGTTTTAATATACCATATTAACTACTCGTTAATATGAAGCATCCAAGGCTCCACTATTACAAATTAGAAAAAATCATTTTAATAGTTAATGAACGGTTAAATATGAAGCATCCAAGGCTCCACTATGGAAAATAGGAATTTAACATAATAGAGAAATACCAGCTGAAAAGGAAAGGTTTAGAAAATAATCAACATTTTTATCTCTCAATATTACAAACATAGGCGGAAGAATCAGTTGGATAATCGTGTCAAATGATAATTTCATTTGTTTCTGGTAAGAAGAGAATTTTGATTTTGATGAATGAATTGAATGAGTGAGAGAGAGAGAGAGAGAGAGAGAGAGAGAGAGAGAGAGAGAGAGAGAGAGAGAGAGAGAGAGAGAGTTTTTAAGTGAATGTTTTATAATGAATATAAATATATATCAATTAAAAATAATATGACACAAAATTGGATTATATTTACAAAATCTAAACCTAAATTATAATGGGATTTAATGGGAATAAAAGAAAAAAATAAGAAATTTTGAGAATATAATTCTATCTAATTTATGTCTCACAAAATTCTTCAAGATAAATGAGATAAGTTGAGACAAAATAAGAATTCTTATTTTATAAACAGGTTTAAAAAGGTAACAGTAAAAATAATATTTCTAAGATTTCCAATATGAATTCAACTAATTTTTTTCAATACAACACATATGTTAAGCTTATATAAAAAAATTAACGATATTTCATAAAAATTGAAAATTAAAAAACAAACATAATTAAATGAAATGAACTAAATATAAAGTAAATTATACTAATATGTTATATATAAAGTATGCTTTTGTTGGAGATAGAAAAGAAGCCTTTGAGAGGCAGAAAAAACGCTTCTTTTCTCTCTCAAAACCCTAGCCGCTTTTTCAGATATGAGGGAGAGGATTTGATTCTACTTCTGATCTTCTTTGGTGGATTTATGCTCCTCTCCCTCCCCCATCTTCTCTAAGTTTTTATGCTCTTCATTGTCAGCAAGCTGAGTTTCTCAGTCCGGCGATTGGGGTTAGCCTTGTCTCTCTGGTGGTGTAGTGGAGTGGTAAATCCGTTCTATAAGCTTTTTGTGGTCGAGACCGAAGCTAGGAGCCGCCTTGCCTTTTTTGCCATTTTTGAAGACTCAGTGGTTAGGTCTAGATGGCTCGGCTCACGTTTCAGTTTCTCATTTGCAGAAGGTGGCGGAAGTCAAAGAACTGATAGGAGGGTTTCACCTTGTTGGATCGATTAACGACCGAATTTTCTCAGACCTGTGTTGACTGACTCGGATTTGTTGGCAGTTATGGTGATTTGAGCCAAGATCCTACTTGCTACCGAGTTTGGTTTTTGATCCGCCCAGATGGATTTAAGCGCTGGCTAGGATAAGAGTTTGGTCAGCTTGCGCTGAAGATGATGGATGGAATCGATGCCTCTTGTTGCTAGGTATGGGACAAGATGGTGGTGGGCACGGTTATCTTCGATTTGGTCCAGTTTGGAAAGAGTTTTACGGAGAAGATCCATCAATGGTAATAGGGTTTTGGTTCGATTTCGTTAGCTTCGGCCGAATAACTGGAGCCGCCGATAGAGAAGCAAAGTAGTGCTCTTTGTTAACGCCATAATTCCTGGACGGGAGTCGTTGTCTCCGATTGTCAAACCAGGTTCTGACCTCATCGCCGACAAACTTTTCCGTTCTGCTTTCCCTTGTAAATCGTTTGGGCGTTGAAGCCCACTTGTAATGCCCATTAAAGGGTTTAATAAAATATTACTTTTGAGAAAAAAAAAAGTATGCTTTTGTCTTTTCACCTAAAGCCACCTCATCATACTAGTCATCATCCATCTAATCTTATTATTTAATTTTAAGAATTAATTATGCCATTTATCATTTAATTTTTAGATTTAGACATATGTAAATAACTTTTTAAAAAAGGAATATGAAAAGGTCTTTTTTAGTATTTTATATTATAAAACTAAAAAAGGCAATTGATTAAAAAATAAAAAACTGACTAATTATCGATTATACTAACTAATATATCAATAATAGATTATAGTTTTTAAGTGAATGTTTTATAATGAATATATATATATATCAATTAAAAATAGTATGACACAAAATTTGATTATATTTACACAATCTAAACCTAAATTATAATGGGATTTAACAGGAATAAAAAAATAAGAAACTTTGAGAATATAAATCTATCTAATTTATGTCTCACAAAATTCTCCAAGATAAATGAGATAGGTTGAGACGAAACAAGAATTCTTATTTTATAAACACGTATAAAAAAGTAACAATAAAAATAATATTTCTAAGCTTTCCAATATGAATTTAACTAATTTTTTGCAATACAACACATCTGTTAAACTAATAAAAAAATAAAAATTAACAATATTTCATTAAGATTGAAAATTAAAAAACAAACATAATTAAATGAAATGAACTAAATATAAAGTAAATTATACTAATATGTTTAATTTTAAAATTGTTCTCTATAAAAATATGAAAATATATAAACCAGAAAATTATAAATGAATATATAATAATATATAAATGATCAAAACGAGATATAAATTACGTCAAATCCAAAAAATAAAAACGTAAAACAAAATAAATAAATTATGACAATATATACATTACTTTATCGCACTTCCATTTATACCCACACATCGACCTATACTATACACACTTAATTTCTCAACTACTAATCAAGCTAATACATAAAACTTTTTAAAACTAAAGTATGCTATAGTGAAAAAAATAAGTAGAAAATAAAATACGAACCAATTACTCATAAACAACATAATAAAACTCCCGTGTGTAGCGAGGGCAACTGACTAGAACCCTAAACTATGCCGACTTCTTCTTGTTTTGGCCTTCAATGATTTTTCTTCTCATTCTTCTCATCATCGACCATTTTCTTCTTCTCCTCTTTATCAACTATCTTCTTCTTCTCCTCATCTTCAATGGTGAAGGATAGTTCCTTAGACTTCACACTCACCGCTAATTTGACGTAGCCTTCTCCTTAGCCACGTTCAAACCCTCCCCATCAACCTTCTCCTTGCCCTCCCCATCAACCTTTTTCCTTACCCTTCTTAATCTCTTGGTCAACATGCTTCTTAGGCTCAGCAGGCTTCTTCTCAGGCTCCGCAAGCTCAGTATTCTTCTCATGTTTCTCAACACTTGCTGGCTCTCTTAAAAATTTGTTTCTTCCTTTGTTCTTTCACCACATTGAAATATCATATGTTAACTAACATATACATTATACTTATTTCAAAACTTGCAAATAACAGTTTCCACAACAACGATTTAGAAGTGAAACATTAGATAACCTAAGACTATGTACATAAGCCACATATTATTAATTTATGTGGTATCAAAATATTAAAATAATGTAGTATTAATATTAACCAAACAAAAATTTAAGAAAATCATAACAAAAAGTGGAGCATTTATAAGAGTATTTGTCACTTGCAATAGCAACTAGAAATTTTATTTTACAAGAATATTAATATTTTAAACTTGTGATAAATTTTACTTTTTGGTAGTTACTCAATATTTTTTTTAAAGATTATAATTTTTATGTAGTCTTTTATTAATATTACTATTTTAAAAACATCAACAAATTTTTATATTTATTTCAAATATATCTCACTTAGTTACATTCAATAATTATTTTTATTAACTATTAACTACTAAGTTTTAAAAGCATAGTTATTTTACAAAATCAGGGTTTTTTAGTATAACATACACATACTTATAGTTCTCTCAAATTCAATTGAAATACATTCAATAACACATACAATCAATTATTGCAAAATCTATATATATAAAGTTAACTTTTTCTCTCTTCTCCTTAAGCCACATCATCATCCACCTCATTTTATTATTTAATTTTTAAAATTAATTATATCATTTTATCATTTAATTTTAATATTTAAACCTATGTAAATAAGTTTTTCAAAAATAAATATGAAAGGTCTTTTTTTATATTATACTAAAAAATATATAAATAATAGATTATAGTTTTTAGTGAATGTTTAAAATATATATATGATTATATTTACACAATGTAAATCTAAATATAATGGGATTTAATGGGAATAGAACAAAAAGTAAAAAAATTTGAGAATATATAAATCTATCTAATTTATGTCTCAAAAAAATTTCTAACATAAATGAGATAGGTCGGACCGAAACATAAATTCTCATTTTTTATAAACATATAAAAAGGTAAAAATAAAAATAATATTTCTTTAAAAGTTCACAATATGAATTTAACTATTTGTTTCCAATACAACACATATGTTAAACTAATAAATAAAATAAAAAATTAACTATATTTCATAAAATTGAAAGTTAAAATAAAAACATTAATAAATGAAATAAACTAAATATAAAGTAAATTATACTAATATGTTAAATTTAAAAA